ATAACTTATTGAGATTTCTACTTTTTGCAGTGCACACCCTGTTTACTCACCATTATAGACCTGGAGATATTACTACTAGTATTAGAACTTTATTTATTTATAAATTCATAAAAAAAAAACATTACTGTGATACCGTATAAAAGAACAGTTTAAATATAAAACAAGTAAAAACTACAAGAACAGAAAGTTAAAGACAACAATGCGATCAACAAAACAGAGTATATAAAAAAAAAAAAACTCATGCTGGATGGAAAGCCAAAAAATGTATATTTTTTTAAGAGTTTTAAAACTAGACACTGAAGGAGTCTTTCTGATTTTTCAGAGGAAGATCCTTGAAGCAAGAGCTCTGAACCTTCATTTGGAGCTTGGTGCCTCCAGGAGCAGCTGATCAGCTCACCTGAGGCCTCCTGGAGGAGTGGAGAGGAGCACCTCAGGGCCAAAACATATAACATTTAACACAATAACATTTGATAAGTGGTTTATTTGCATGTTTTGAAAAGTAACAGTTAAAGAAATTTCTTAAAATAAAAAACAAAACTTACCACAGATTTCCAGTATTCACATGATTTTAAAGCTACTAGAGAAATGTTGAAGTACATTTACATCTCAGTTTCTGCCCTAGAAAGCAATAGTCCCTTATAATTTGCTCCTCTATCAATGAAAGCTTTGCAGTTGGAGCTTCGGGTTATTGTAAAAAAATAAAATAAAATATGAAGCTATAATGCTTAGATGGGTAGAAAGGATTTGACCAAATTCCAGCCAAACACATTCAACCTACGGAAATACATGGCGGTGTTAGTATCATCCTGTGGGATCATGTTGTTGGAAAAATTTAAGTGGCCTTCTCACAGCTGTTTAACTCACCAAATAATAAGAATCTGGGTGAGGAAGGGAAAGAAATGACTCCGGAGCAGCTATCCCTAATGTTTGATTAAAGATGATAAGAACTGATTCAACAAACTGAACGGAAACCCAACGAGACGAGAATCAGCAGATGTTTACATAGTGCCCTAAAAGAAGAACAAACTCGACTTTTATTCACCATTAAAAAACATACAGTGTGCTCAGAAAAAAGGACCAGCTAAAAGTCCAATAATGTCGTGACAATCAGATCCCTGACTAGTGTGGGCAAACATCTGCCCACAGTTGTGCTGCTGAGCTGGATTGTGTTGAAGAGTCAAAGCTTAAGAAGCATCAGATTTTATCACTGGTGCTCTCATCCAGCTCCAAGCTGCTCTATACCATGGTGTTAAATGAATCATTGTGGGTCAGTAAGGTTGGATGGGAGAGAGGAGAGATGAAGTCAACAAGAGGAAGGAAAACGATGGGCGCAGTTTGAAGAGCGAAGGGGCGGGAAAGTAACAGATGGACTTGGGAGGATTAGAGTGAATCTGGGTGGGTTTCTGCTAGAAGCCGGGAGTGATGAGGAACCACGAGAAAAAGTGAGGAAACCTAAGCCCATTATTCAAGAAAGTTAAAGGAAATAAACTGAACGTATTTGTTCTTCTGTGGTAAGTCACATTTCAGTCATTTATTGCTCTTATTTCTTGCTGTTTGAGGTTTTTCTCACCAAAAGTTGAGCTCTTCCAGCTGCAGCTGGATTTTCTAATCCCACCCCTGAGGGAAAAGATTTTCGCTGATTCTGGCGAGATGCACAGCTCGCACAAAAAAGATCAACCATCACATCTCTGATGTGGACATTGCTGTTTTTTACTCAGTAATTTACTACAAACTCTGCATGTTAGGAATCTTAAATGATCGGATAGGCTAAAGAAAAAATATTTCAGGAAAAAAAAATTATGATGTTTTGGAACCACTTGTTTACATCATTATGGGTTTATTCATGATTTAACAAAAAGAAAAAAAGCTATTTTCTTTATAAATGAATCAATTCCTTCAATTAATTTTAAGGCTATTAGCATGAAAACTGATACAAAATAAAGCACATTCAAGATCCTTCATTTATTGTGTTTTAATTTTGAATCTGGAAAGTTGGTGATGTAATTAAATCTGACTCCTCTAAAGTCGCACTTACATCAATTTATTTTTTTGTTCAGTTTATCTAAAAACACCTTAGTTCAGATCTTACTGGCCATTTGATCAGCAGATCTTCACTCTGCATTTCCCACAACAAGCTGTTTCAGCAATTTGAATGGATGTTGGGAGCTTTAGTATGATTTGTTCTGATGGCATTAAAATTGGTTTTGCTTTTAATTTCAGATTCAGACACTTCCTCCTAATTATTGTTGGTAGAATCTTTTTGAATCCTCTTTATTATCCTGACCGAATGATTTCAGAGGTATGGGAGTTTAGGTTCATATAGTACTGTTTACAGAGTGATGCTCATTAATTAAGGCACCCCTGACTTTTTAATACTTTATTTAAAATTGACCATATTATTTAAAGGGACCTTAATCATTGTCAGTAAATCTTCCTGATTTCAAAAGCTCATGTGAAGGTTTTTTCTCTTGGCCATTGCTGCTCTTTCATTCCTTTTCTTAACAGGCATGTTCCTTAAAGTAAATTCTTGTTCCTTATAGAAAAGGCAGGTCTACTTCAAATGAGTCTAATGAAGGAAACAAAACAGACCCAAGCAGACCTTCTACTAACTGATGACTCTAAAAGATGCTTCATCATTGCCTCAATCATCTTCAACATGTCTTAAGAATTTAATTAATCATTTTTATCTTGGTACCAAAGTAGAAATGTGTCCCGGTTTTTATTGATTGTCTCTTAAAATCAATCAACAGATGAAGTAAAATAATAAATCTATTTATCCATTGGATTCGAAGCTGAGATAAAACCTGATTAGTGCATCTTTAAAACTTTAGATATTTTATAGAATCAACAGAACAATCAGGCAGTCTTGGCAGATTAATTGAAAACAAGCTGCTTCATCTGTTGATTTCAGGAGTGTTTTTATGTTTGAATAACTAAATCGATTCATACTACAAAGAAATAATAGCATAAAGAATAAATATCCCTCCAGGAGGTCAGATATTGATGGAAAATGTCCAGAAAGGTCAAATTTAAATAATAAAAATAAAATTGTTTTAGATACCCTGGATAACTTTTTTTTGATCAGGAGGACTTTAAAAGATGAAGTCGAAAGACGGTAGGATGGTATGACACTTCTCAAAGAAACCATCAACCCTGTGAGAGCTGGAAGCTAAAAGGATGAGCCGTCTCTCAGCTGCGAAGATTCAAGAATAAGGTGCAAAGCCTTATTTTATGTCACTAAAATCTATTTTTACAAGACTAAATATTTCTAATTAAGACATGCTTCCAGAGACAGCTAGATAAATAGGTCAACAGGACAAACACTCTTAAAGTACAGAGGAGCCAACTGTACGTTAAACGGCAGGAACTTCCCTTCACTCACTCAAAGCTTTGAGGCTAGGAGGTGAAATGTCTTCAAGAAGTGAAGATTAATCCCAGATGACTTCGGGTTAAGCTGCCAGGGTTACGCTGACGGGATAAACTGATAATCTTTCAGGATATGCTTAAACTTTTCTTTAATGATTTTGGCCAGATGTCAACCTTTTTCTTGTTTTGTTCTTTATAGGTACAGCAGGAGAATCACCGGGAATTAATCTCCTCCACTTTGCTCAAGATTAAATGAGATTTAGCCAGCCCAGAGGCAGGCCTGAGATCCTGGACTAATCACTCCCTCTTTAACCAGATCCCTCTTGGAGAGGTGAGGGAACAGGTTAAAGGAGGGTTGTGCCACCAGCCTGGACCCTGATTAGAAGTCAAATCCAAACATCAAGTTTAATTCTGTCTTGAAGAGGGAGGAAGACATCATCAAGAAGGCAGATACTTGATGAACCTCAATGGGAACATGGGCTAGATGAGAGGCTGGGGCTGTTCTGCTCTCAGGAAGCAAAGCTCCTACATTTAGATCGAATATCCTACTTTGTCTGTCCAGCAAATCCAGAGTTTCTGTAACAGATACTACAACAGGGATCCTCCAGCTGAGACTGCTTCCATGACGACGCAACAGCTGGAGCTCCTGCCTCTGCTTGATTAAAGCCCAGCTCTTATCTGCCATCCCTCCACTGTCCTTTAACCTCCGCTCATCAGATATTCCTCCTCAGACTCCGCCCCCCTTCCATTTCATCACTGACCCTGACTGTTGGTCCTCAACTCAAACAATCCTGATCTTATTTTCCCCTCGGTCATCTTCCACGAGTGCCTGATCTGACTTATCCCTGAGTCGTCCTTATGCCGATGCTTCAGTCCACTGAGCCTCATCCCAGCAGGTCACCACAACCAGTCGGGCACATGTAGCCATTTTAGGGCCTTCACAGTTGAGCCCAGGCTTCACCTCTTACACCTGCTGCAGTTCTCCACTGGCTTTGGTCAGGTCCAGCAGAAACAATGCTGGAGAAAATGTCCAGACGAAACCGCACCCTGCTTTCTCTGGGTCTCACCTCGTTGGCCCTGACCATGTCGGTGTCGGCTTTCTGCACCTCGTACTGGTGTGAAGGGACTCATAAAGTGGTGAAACCAATCTGCCTGTCACCCGTCAAGTTGAAGAACTGTGGGAAGAACAACAGCCAGCCGTATACAACAGGTGAAGCTGGACACAAACGTTTTTTTTTGCCCCTGTTATGTCAAGTGTCTGTTTATTATCATATGATGAAGGCTCCTGACGTCATGGATGAACCAATGCTGCATTAACATATAAAACTGCAAATATATATTTATTTAAAACTGGACTTCAAATGTTGAAAGCACCCAAAATACCAAAATTCATAGTTTAAAGGACATTTTAAAGGAAATTTTATTTTAGTGAGGAAACATTTCTAAATATCCTCTAGCTAAAGAATTCGGCATGTGCTGATGATCACATAAGGAAGATTCACCTATTGTTTTTTTTTGTTTGTTTTTTTTTGGGTGGGGGGTCTAAATCATTTGTTTCCTGGAATTAAGAATCAGAAGATCTTCAGCCAATAAGCATGTTGTTTTCACATACCTCCTTTTTTCCCACATTTTTCCCATTTCAAATTTTCTAAGCAGACATCTCGCTCAATCCGAACGAAAGATGACATCCAGTCTTTGAAAAAGAACTATGACAAACCTTCAGATAGTAACTATGAGTATTAATTATCTCCACTTAAAAAAATATATCTGAGGAAAATATTCAATGTAGAGAAATCCTGTGTGAGAATTTGATATAACATATAATAAACAGAGGGTTTAATGTCTTCAGTGTTCGACTGTCAGGTTCTAATGCCTAATGATTAATTACAGGTTATATGTATATATATAATATAACCTGCAGAACTGAGCTGAAAGCGAAACTAAACAAAAGACAAACATTGTTAATTTAATTAGAAACAGGAAACCTGAACTAAAACTTTACTGATGCCCCTTTTGATTAGAGATCCCAAACATGGAAAATGTACCTCTGAACTATTCTGGTTTCATTATTCCAAACTGAAATAATTTTTAAATTGAGGGATTTTGTTTAGTCACGTACTTTATGATGCTGAAATGATATTTGTCTTCATTTTGATCTATCTGGCAGACAGCCTGAGATTTTGGTAAATCAGACTACTATTAATAACAGTTCATAACTTCATCCTCTCATAAACCTCAATAATATCTGCAGAGAACTAACCCAGAGCATAACTGCACCATCACTATGTTTAATATCACATATGATATTCATTTTTTAATGATGATTAGGCTTTCTCCCTGAAAGGAGATTTTAGCCTGGAATATAAAAAAATATTTTGAAGAAAATGTTTCTATGTTGCAAATCTACCCCTTAATCTAGACATACCTTTGGCATTTACTTAATCATATTAAGTTACTTTAACACAATTGTTTTATGCCCTACCCTGCTAACATGAAACAATTGTGTTAAAGTAACTGAATATAATAAAGTAAATGCAAAAAAAAAAAAAGTGGTTGTATATTTTTTTTCAGTGTTGTTAGATGTAGAACAAATTTTGCCAGTGCTAACCTCATTATGCCCTTTAGTCTCTTTGGAGCCTTCAAGACCAGATTCAATTTTATCTATGCATATTTATTTGATTTTTTTTTTTTTTTTTAATAACATTTGTTTTTAGACTTAAACTTCATTATCATCTTGTATACACAAAGTGTATACAAAACAATATTTCGATGCATACAGCTTTTTTACAGTAGAAGAAATGCTTGCAAATTGTCGAAGAAATGTAGCAGCCGAAGCCTTTATGGTGCCGCCATCTTGAAAATATATATATATTCAATATATTTTTGTTTCTTCTGTAGCATCATTTCTCCACTGTCTGTTTTCATTCTACCCGTTTCTGACCCTGGGAACCTTTTTGCTGTTTCTGTGAACTTTTCTTGTTTGTTGGAAGGGAGTTCTTTTAGAAACAGTCCTGTTTGCTAATCATGGCTTCCACTAAATGATGCAGAGGAAGAACATTTCAGGAAAATATTACTAAAGCTTATTGTGTGAAAATATTTAAATACAGATTTAACACAGATGTTTTTGTTTATATTATAATATAATCTTTTTTACTGTAATCCCTCTAATTATTTGTTGTAAGATAATTTTTACATGATTAACATCAAATTGAAGTTAAAATAAGCTTTTTTGATTATCTATTATAGTAAAGCATTTTTTGTACAAAAACATAACATATTAAGACGGCTTAAACTCGGTGCTAAGCTTTGAATGTGCAGTGCAGTCTAATATATATTTAGAAATCATTCTTTGATAAATATAATAAAAAGTCTGTGCTCAGTATGCAGCAGAAAGATGTCAAACTGCAGGGTGTTCTCCGTGGGACATTAATCCCCATGTTAGTCGTGTAAAAACATGTGAAGTTTCTAACCTGGTAGAGCTCAGCCATGGCTGCATGAAGCTTTACATGTAGACATTTTTCAGATAATCCCATGTAGGCTGTAATCTCACTACAGTGTGTTTAATACAGTTTAATATAGAAATCAAAGCTGACTAAAAACAGCATCTGAGAGTTTTTTTTTCCAGGGATATCAGTCAGATAAGGATTTTGTACAGTGTTTTTATATGTTTTTCTTTTTTCTTTTTCTTTACTTTAAATACTAATTTCCACCAATATTTTAAGCAATATAATCTCATGTCCAAAGGGGGAATAGCAACTAGTTATATTTACTCAGTTGCATTAACTAGATTAAATTAAAAAAAAAGTATTTTTAGGAATAGATTATTTGCACCTTAACATTTGCTTTTACATAAGTAATATTATCATGTATCGCTAACCGTTACCCTAACATCTTTAACTACTCTCCCCACTGTCAGTAACTCTACTGTAAAAAAACAAGCACATTTCAACCTAAAAATGCAGCAGACACAAGAGGATAGAACTATATCCTGTTTTGAACACCATATTTGTAGTTTTAATGTTTCTTTTATTGAGACAAAGAAATAGAAGTCAATATACAACAAAAAAAACATATTTATTGTCGCTGACGTTTGTTTATCCTATTGCATCATACATACTTTATATACTTCAAGAAATGGTTTAATATGTTATTTGTCAAAAAATTTATCATGAAAATTGTTTCTTCTTCCCCTATTTGTTTGATTCATGATCTTAAAAACATAATTTCAAATAGTACTAGTTCCTTATTAGTTTTACTCTTGTTTTAGTAGATTAATGGATGGCTACCTTGTAGTAAAGTAGATATATGTTGAAGTAGTGCTACCTTTGTTGAGTATGTTTTCTTTTTGTTTTCTACCCACCTCTGCTCATTTCTTTCTCTTTTCAACAACATGTATTTTTTTCCTCAGCCTTATTTTGAGGAGTTGCTTTTTATCACATTGATCACCTGAATTGTTCTCTGTTTCCATCCAGAGGCTCCCACCGTGGACCCTAGTAGCCCTGTGTCCAACGTGACGCTCTCTCCAAAGCAGAAAGAGGAACTGGCTCTCCTGAGGAAAAAGCAGTTGGCCAACGCCGTGCAGTATCTCTGGGAAACAGGGGAGGATAAATACATGCTGAGATACTTTCATACAGGCTTCTGGCTTTCCTGTGAAAAACACAATGAAGGTTGGTGTTGGATAACATATGATTACTGTGTCTGAACTAATTCCTATTTAAACTAAAAATATGAGAAAAACAGCGAAAGCCTCTTTTTCCTTAACCCAAAAATCCTTTAATGACTGTTCCCTGAGTTCTAGGTAAATTTTTTCTGTAGTGCACAAGTTTTATGTTTTTCAAAGCAAATGCAAAGGCTATTTTTTATGACAAGAGCTGTTCCTGAAAGGGTTTTTATCATAAAAAGGCAGCCTTAGATGATAGACATTTATACTTTAATTTTGAGGCAAACATAATCAGATTATAATATGTCTGGTTTGTTTCTAAACTAATACAATTTCAAGGGTATTCCATTTTAATACATGATATAGTGTTTAAAAGTAAGTTAAGCTGGTCTGACCCGCTCTGCCCTCAGCATTTTCTAAAACCATTGGTCAAGAAGTTTGGTCCAAAAAAAAAAAAAAAAATAGATTAAACAACATCAACTCATTAACTGTCACGTTTCTGCCACAATAAAACTTCTGTCCACCATTACTGGGGTTTATATGGCAGGATTAATAACAGCTGATTTAATCTATGCTGCTTCAGGTGTTTCAAGATCATTTTTGGTGATTTTGATGTGCACAGTTAACGGTTTCATGCATTTAAAATCTCTTTAGACAGTAGACAGGAAAAAAACAACAACATTACCAAACATACACTGAATGGCACTACAGGAAACTCTTGTGATGCATCAGAAAAGGATGCAAATAGAGCTTTAAAATAAAGAGTAATGAAATGATAAAAATAATTACATTAATTAAGCATTCCCCAATTAATATGAGTTCTGAATAATATCCAGAAATTGAATAAAGAAAGGTAAATGAATCAAATATAGATCAACATTAACCATAAATCATTCCAAAATATTCACAAAAGTAGATTTAGGCTCTTGATTAATCTTGATTATTATCATCTCTTGTTTTGTATTCCTTTTTATGGGATAAAGAAGTTCCTGGTAAACTGATATCAACCATTTCAATGTGAAGTTGAGACAGTTAATAACAGAGAGCTCATCTTAGCGCTAATTTACAAATGTGTGTTTTTAGAATCAGGTTTATTATTAAGTCACATACTTAACTTTGTTTTTTGACTTTATTAAAGGCTAATTTATATATCCTGAAATTCTGTAATTTAACAGTAAAAATGAGCATTAACATTTCTGATATGTTGTGAGATCTGTGCAGTTTACACATGAAAATATTATCTTTTATTTGAAGCATCCACACAAATCCTTAAAAGAAATGTATAATTCCATCAACTTTATTAGAAAACTGTCATAAATTGATAGAAAATGCACTTTATATGCTATTCCTGATTTGCAACTCACTTGTTAATGGAATCTGTTCAGAAGTTATTCAGAAAATATATTCTATTTACAAATCATTTACAAAATGATTGCTGAGATGTTGATGAGTGTTTTTTTTTTAAGTTTATTTGATTGGAAAATATATGAACTTTTGATATGTTCACATGTTTTGACACATAATTAGCAAACCTGGACAATAATAAAAAAAACATATTTAAATATTCATGAAAAATAGTTATATGCAGAACTTCCTGTTTTTAGGAGACGATCAGGAGGAAAAGTGTCGCAGCTTCATTGAACTGACCCCAGGGGAGACACAAGGTTGGAGCAAAACCAGTTTTTCACAGAAAATACAAAGAACACCATTTGATCAAATTGTGACACTTCTAAGTCAAATCTTAACGCAATAAAAACAGTTTATTTTCTGTTTCCATGCTTCCAGGTGTGCTGTGGCTGGCTGTTATAAGTGAGTTTATGTACATCGGCCTCCTGGCAATGGGTTTCCTCCTCATGTGTGTAGAAGCCATGTGCCTCTGTGCCAAGAAGGAGATGAGCTCCCTTAAGGTCAACGCCTACGCTGCTATGTGCACCGTCCTTTCTGGTGAATGCATAAAAAGTATTGGATTGTACATATTTATTTTAAAATCATGATTTGTATGTAGGACTGCTCAGCTGCGCAGTGAGTTGCACTGCTGCTTTGCAGCGAGAAGATTCCGGGTCTTTTTGCATGGAGTTTGCATGTTCTCCCTGTGCATGCATGGGTTCTCTCTGGGTACTCCAACTTCCTCCCACAGTCCAAAACCATGACTGTTAGGATAATTGGCTTCTCTAAATTGTCCTTAGGTGTGAGTGTTTGCTTGAATGGTTGTTTGTCCTGTTTATCTTTGTGTTGCTCTGCGATGGACTGGCGACCTGTCCAGGGTGTACCCTGCCTCTCACCCATAAGCGACCCCGCTTGGAATAGATGTGACTGAAAATGGATGGATGGATTTATTTTTAGCTTGCTGGTCAACCCAAAAAATAACTATAATGCCATGTGTTTTTAACTGGTGCTATATAGATAAACTGAATTGAATTAAAATGAATTTATTCTGTACTTAAATAAGAAGGACCTAACATGTTTTTTAGCTGTTATGCAGACATTATCAGATGTTAGGATTATCTTTATCTTTGCCTGTGTTTGTTAAGCCCAAATATTACCTACCTTTTTAGTATGGTAGATGTATTTTCTAGTTTTCCTACCCATGGTGTAAAGCCATAAAATATAGAGGCTGATGCTTTTCCCAAGCAGTTTATTTAGTTATGACAGTTCTTCTATTGGGATCAAAAGTAATCATCTCCATTATGTAAGTAAAAAGGGTTTAGAAACGAAATGGGAGCATACAGACGGTGATGATAATAGTTCTCTAGGGCCAGGCTGATAAAGAGAATTTGGGTGTGTAATCCTAAGGCAAAGATGCAGCAGGGAAAGACGAGGAGCTTTGACAGCCTCGTCGAATAATGACCCCACAGTTAACATATAGAGTCAGGAGGTATAAGTAGGAGGAGAAAGTGTTTTTCGGGGATAATTTTTCTTTTTATACCAGCTGGTGTACCAACGACCTGAGCCAACAGCTGTGTGATTCTCTGTAATTTTTCCAACCTAATTTTGAATAAATCCAGTTTAACTGTTGTTATTTTATAGTCATTTATTAGATTTATTTGTGTTATGTTGAAGAGTGGTTAAACGTAGCGAAAAAAAGAATGGGAAGGAAAGCTTCAAGGCGAAGACGCATTCAGTGGGCAGTAGCTTTCATTACAGAGAGAATGAGTTGTTTTTTGCAATATTTATCAACATATGAACATTCTCTGAGAGATGTGACAATTTTTTTTCATTTTTTTGTCTTTTTATAAGTAATCATGCAATTTATTTTTATTTGTTCTGAATGCTTTTGACAGTTTATACTGTGGACCTCTAAGCTTATAAATTAAATAAGTTTTAAGTCACTTTTTGTTCCCATCCAACCATACATCCTTCCACCTTTCTTATCCCTCTTAATTGGGTCATTGTGGTGCTGGTTTCTCCAGCAGTCTGTGGATAAAAGGCAGGGTACACCCAGACAGGTCACCAGCTCATCACAAGGCAGCATTTGCTTCCCCCCTTTTAACAAACCTCTCTCCATTTGCCACAGGCCTGATGGGGATGGTCGCCCACATGATGTACACCACAGTTTTTCAGATGACAGTGAGCATTGGACCAAAAGACTGGAGGCCACAGTCTTGGGACTATGGATGGTCTTTTGCGTGAGTCATTTTCTGTGGTATTCCTGTTTTTAATACCTTAACTGAAAGTACAGGTAAAAATAATAGATGGTTATGTTTTGTTTGCTTTTTTAAAATTCCGGCAAACTACCTATTGTTCAATACCAGCAGCGATTATAATGCCATGACGGTAAAATGCAATAATGGACGTTTAGGTAGAAGGCCTTGAAAACAATGTGTGAATACTACCCAGTTTCAGCCACAGAAAACCTCAGTTTCGGGGCTAGCTGACTCTCAGCAATAGGGATTTTTTCCAGGAGAACCTAAACTGTTAGCAGAAAAAATCTGATTTAGAATGCCTTTATTTATCATTATACAGAGCATCCAAGAGACACAGTACAACAACAAACATTAGGGGACAGATGCATAAGGTTATGACGATTGGGGCTGCCCCTGCCGTGAAAAGATAATAACAGAAAATATAGGGGGTAAATGAGAATAAAAAAATACATCCCACACTGTGCAGAATAACGTTTCATGAATACCCTTAAATTCCAGGTGTGACTCTAGAAGTTGCTTCTTTTTAAGACGGCCATATTGTATTGTCCATTCCAGTAAAACTATATGTAAAGATGTTTTCTTAAATCTTTCCATCTCTCAGGTTAGCATGGCTTTCCTTCAGCTGCTGCATGGCCGCCGCTGTTGCAACACTCAACTCCTACACTAAGACCATTATTGAGATGAAGCACAGAGCCAGGCTGAGATTGGAGGAGGCCCGAGCTGCTACCATCGCCCCCCCCTATGAGGAGGTTGTCCGAGCAGGAGGAGGCAGCCTTTACTCAGTCAGCCAGTTGGTTCAGCTTGGGCAGCAGGGCGCCCTTATGGATCCACTGTGGCCAAGAGGAGTGGGACCGGCAGTCGGACCTTTGGCATGCAGTGCTGGTGGAGCCTTGCTGGTTGGAGCTGGAGTCGGAGGCATTGGGATGGGTATGGGAGGAGCTGGACCTGGAGGAATACCAGCTATGGGGGGAGTTGTTGGAGTTGGTGTTGAAGCGGGTGGAGTTGGGATGGGAAGGGGCAGCAGTGGTGGGACAATGGGAACAATGGCAGGAGCCAAAATGGGAACAGGAAGAATGATGAACACTCACGGAGTTGTAGTTGTGGGGGGATGCACGACTGAAGGATGTACAGAGTGTGAACGAGAGATGGATGAGATAGACTACACTCTGCGGGAGGGCAGAGAGGACTCACTTTGCTAGGACTTACAAAGGATAAAGACTAGCAAACCATACATGACTTGAAAAATCACCTTATCATTTATTTGTACATAAACTGTTTTGGGATTTATAGATGTAGCTTACTGAGTTTAATTAGCACTAGTCTACATTCCCTGTTAACTACAGCCTCAGCTGAAGTTTTCTCATCAGGTCTAAAAAGTTTGCAAAGTCATTAGAGTTGTTTCGTAACATAGAACGGTCAGTTAATGAACATTTGTCAAGTCTTCCCCAGCAAGATGTTGTGAATATGCCTCAATATATTTTGCAGTATCGAAAACAGTACACTTTTTCCTTTTTATTGTAAAAGCATCAAAGAGAAAGTCAGTTAGGGCTTTAATATCTCTGAAATAACAATAACTGTGACACAACAAATCTCTCAAAGTGCAACTCATCTACGACTTCAATGGCCAAATGGTTAAGTTCTCTATAAGTTCTTTTGGTTCTTTCGTTTTACCAGAAATATGACCTGGGCCTATATTCACAAGGATTCTCAGAGTCGTCCCAGAGAGCTCATCACTTAGTCTAAAAAAATCCTTCTGTGAAACTTTTATCTTAGTGAGAAGGGATGGTTGACACTGTTGCTAGGAGTGACACTGTCTACTAAGAGCTGTGATTGGTTGGTGGTTGGAAGTAAAAAAGAATTTAATAAAACAAGCCAATCTTGAGCGGATAAAAAAATGTGTAAATCACAATGATGAATCTTATCAAAGTTGTATTAATTATTTCATATATTGGATAAAAAGGTGGTGAAAAGCAAACTGGACAGGGGAGTAGTGTCTGTTGGCGCAGCTGAAGAAGGAAAATAGAGGAGCTGAAGGTTAATTTGGATCATAAAACCGTAGACTTGAAATACAGAATAGAGTTGATCAATACATTATTCTTCCTGCTTTCACCTGTTTCACCTACATCTTTTTCATGGGTGTTGTAGGCGACCATAATTATGCTATGGCTGCTTACATTACCATGTACAACACAGCAAATATTTCATTATTCAACACAGTTACATCTCCCTCTTATGTACAGTATATTGTATTTATATTGTTGTACTTTTACATCTATCTGAATATTGTCTTTGACTTGTTCCATTTTTTAAAAGATTTTATTTTTTGAAATCATGTTTGTATATTTTTTACTTTTTATTCTTAGGCAAAGATTTTTTTACATCATTTCTTCTTAAAATGATCTTATTGTGTCATTGAAACTTTGACTGATTCTGCTACTGTAAAATAGCTATAATTACCCTATGGGGATGATAATGTTGATCTTATCTCCAATCATAATTTTATGATTGTTATAGAGGTTTGTGCTCGTTTAATCTGCTTCTCTGGTGGATTATCCCAACAATTCTCACTGTTTCCAACAACTTCTCCTAAAGCACCATAAAGGTCTTCATCCTTTCTTTATATTTTTCATGATCTAAGCTTTGTTAGGGCCAAAGGTACTTTCTTATTAACTTTCTTGCTAGCAATGAAAAGTTCTAGAAAGTCAATGAGAATTCAAAGCGTTTTCTGATTTTTTCTGGAAATGGCATTACATGGAGCTATTTTATCATTAAGATTCTTTGTGAATATGGGCCCTAGTCTTCACTAATATTTATAATACGGTAATTAAAATATAACCTCAAGTGTATTAAACCAAGCAACCAAAGTATCAGACTTTAATTGAAAATAATTCATAATATTTTATATTTTAGAAACTTTCCAAAACCGGCTCATACTCATAAGTGAACATTTGCACGTAATTCTTTTAACACCTATTTGAGGCTGAATACCAACTAGTCACACTGGAGATTACACAGCACTTTTTAAAGGCTATTCATGACATTTCAATATATTGTTGCTAGAATTATAGAAAACTGAACCAGTTTACTTTTCTTGTTGAAACATTTATTGGGGAAAAAAAAACTCCTCAGGGTAATAAATGTTAATTATGTCAATTTTAGCCATAGTTGCTGTTCGAAAGTACTTTCTGAAAATGGCACAAACTGGACACATTGACAGTGGGGCAAGATACCTTTTATAAAGGTAAATTTACTGCTCATCTGCATAGAAATGACTCAGTGAAGCTGGTTTAAGTGTTGGATAAGAATGCTTTCTCCTCCTCATTGATGGTTCTTTTATGAATATGTGAGAAGACCAGTGGTCAGACCCAGAACCAGCTGGTTTGAGAAAAACTTGGTATTACTCAGAAAGAGCTGAAGAGTCTCAAATATTCTCAAACCGTGTCTCAGGGTTGCTCCTAAACCAAATCTCAGATAACTGTCTGAAATCAAACACCCCCGAAAACAAAGATATTTTCATCTTTTGTCATTTAGATCTATATAATTATAGCTGCCATACCAAAAGAACAACTACATCCACTGTTTTGCCAATTCAATCTTCTTTCCTGCCTCCTCCTCCTTGTCCTTTAATTGTTGGACTAATATTTCTGTCAACTCGTCATGTATTCTAGCATTGCGCAATGTTTGCTATGTGCTTCTGAGAAAGTGGAAAAGTCTATTGAGGAATACTAGAAAAAAGTGAGATGACAGAAGCAGAGGTTTTTAGACAGATGTTTTTAGATGTTGAGCAGAAGATTATGTCAGTAATCTCTACCAGTCATGGAAATAAGAGAGAGAGTGCGAGAGGGATTGACTCAATGCAGGCAGTGAGGCGGAGATAAACTGAACCCCGAGGTTATTGAATGCCTCTGTATAAGGAGAGTAATTAAAAATGTAATTTAAGAGGTTAGATAATTCAGCAGTTATGCAACTGCAACCATATGGACAGTAACCTTAACAGCCCGATGTTCGAAGCAGTGTGTTACCAAAAATTTTACTACAATAAAAATTTATACATTTTCCTAAATGACTATTTACCAGCGATGATATAAGACATTATTCTTAGAACATGGATGGAGGATTTGTAAACCTTTAAAAAAAATTTACCTTTTCACATTGTAAACAACAGGAAGTAAAAAAGATATATATTTCGAATCCTCATTTTATTAAAACTTTATTGTTTACATTTATTCCATATATTACAAAGGAACATCTAGGACCAACACCACTTTCCATATTAATCACTTAAACATCAAACATGTAAAACTGTGCCCCATGGTTAAGCAAAAATGGTAAAAGACTAATTTGGCTAAAGCAGTAAAACAGTATTGCATGTTGGTCAAGGTTTACAAAGAATAGCAATGTTATTATTTACTGGTACAGTGAAAACATTATAGCAAAACAAACCTTCATTATATCCTTTTTATTTGCTCTAAACTACTGGCTGCATCAAAATTCATAATAAAATCACGTATATCATGTATTTTATTCACTGTAAAGACCTTGTGCTGAATGGGTCCTGGGATATCTCTGTCTATCAAGTAGTAGAAAGACAGCAGGTTATAGATATCTGCTGGAAAGCATATTCACAAAGTTATTTTACCATCAATGTAATCTGCTTGCATCACATTCCACTCCCCAGATTTTCATCTTTTAAACTACAAACAACTTGGACAGCACACATGCACAGGACACAAGCATGAAACCAAGCAGGAGGTCAGGTTTCAGTATTTTGTAAGGGGCAGTATACACGGCCTATTTGTTTATGCTGTGTGAGGATACCATCAGGTGCCACTGCATCTACAGATTGACCCAGAGAGAGAGCGATGGATCGGTCAGACTGAGGTTATTTTAAAGGCTCATACTGAATCAAACGGAGGGCGTCTTCATTTTGCAACAAGCCCTTGATGAATTCTCCCTCTGCAACTCGGTCTGAAGAGGACAAGATAAAAAAGATTACAAACAATTATACAATGAATTATGCTCGCTTCATTGATTATACATAGTTATAATTAGATCAATAATTAAAAAGAGCCAAATTCCTTTAGAACAAGATAAAAAACACAGAAAAAAACAAACATGTAACTATTAGTTTTGCCTAGAACATGTTTTGTTATTTGCAAGGAACAGGGAGTTGGTAGAACGTCTACAATTTGCAAATGACAGTGTGGGGAATTATTCACACTGTCTTATTCAAACTGTCTTTTATCCTGTTCTAGAATCTCTTTCTCTAATCTAATCTCTAAATTTCAGTTTAACTGACTGAGGTTGGCAGGATGAGGGGTTCCGTAAAAATTAAAAAATATCCACTGGACTTGGTTTCCAAGATTCCAAGATTTAAAGACGTTTCGCTGCCTCTCCAGGAAGCTTTCTCAATTCAAATGTCTGACAATGACATTTCAATTGAGAAAGCTTCCTGGAGAGGTGGCGAAACGTCTTCAAATCTTAGAAACCAAGTCCAAAGGATATTTTTTTGAATTTTTATGGAATAACTATGACCTGGATGATTGAGAACCTTCATCAGCAGGATGAGGGGTCTGCCAGGGGCCCTATGTATGCAAGAAGTACCCCTGTACATTAATTCCACTACTTATTAGCATTTCAATGTATTAAATTCCCCTTTTAAATGCAAAACAACAACAAAATAATAAAGATAACATTTGGTCTTTTTTAGATAGTAATCTGAAGCTATCTGACATATTTTACTTTTGCTAAAATCTGAAACTTATTTGCTATTTTTAGCAATGTTTTAGTGAAAACATTTGCATACTCAAGAAAATTACAACAAAGTCTAATTTACAATAATTAGACACTCCTTTTTCTGACTGCTAAATTGTTTTGTTAGTGTGACATATACTGCCAGACAGATAAAAATGTCAAAGCTTGAAGATTTTCTTACATCTGTTGATCACCATAATATTACTTGATCTTACCGTTGTCTTCCTTATTAAAGACTTTCCAGAGTTTGTTTGCCCTCTTTTCTGGTGTGTTTTCATCCTCAGGTAGATCTTCCACTTCATCTTTTGGTATCAGCTTGAAAATCGACTGTTAGAAAAAAGGAAAGGTTGAATAAATTGTGTCAATTAAAATATTTTATCCATGTTTCTTCACATTTTTATCATGTTCCAAGTCAGGTCGCTAAAATTTTATGTGATTCATGTAATAATAAATGAAGAGGAATTAAGCATCTACCCTCCTTAACAAAATACTTGCTAAGGAGTTACTAAGAGTTTAAAGTATTTCTACTAGTAGGTATGAAAGTGTTTAAAGAATATGAAATGCTGCAAGATTTCATAACATTTTCTAGAAAAGATCAAAAGTTACCATTTCTCAAACAATTTTTTTTAGATAAATTCATAAAAGTGTTTATAAAGTAATTCATTTAAAGAGCCACATCTCTAATACAGAAAAATATTGTACCGTATTTATGCAGATTTAAGAAAACAAATTTTAGCAGTTTTGTTAAAAAAAGAAAATACTACCAATTTTTTATTTAAAAAAATTACTATTGTTAAAAGGGAAATGAATTATAAAATTACACATAGAAGCCCTTAAAAAAACATGTAGGCTCTTTATTCTACAGAGGAAAAGTTCTACTCTTTTTTTTTCCACAGGTTAATTTTTCATTACTCGTTATACAATCCTCCTTTCTTTTTTGTTAGTTTTTTGTTGTATGTTTTAAAAGAATAATTGTAGATTGTAGAGAAAGTTTAGTGCAACATACAGCATCACAAATTAATTTATCACAAATTATTGAGATAGAAGTCAAAAATTTCCTTCCACGCCTCGAAACAGCAAAGTAACATTTTTTTTTTGGATGATAAACAATAAAAGTGAAACATACGTTTAAGACTTGATTGATTTTATTCAATTTTAGACTTTTGTGAATTTACACTGAGAAGTGAATCCATTTAGTGTTACTTTACTGTCCTCTGACTCCTGACTAATCTTAACCTGTTTAACGGCATGAATAAAAGATTAATCCTAAAAGAACGTTACCTAACTAGAGAAAGGCCCTGGCTTTCAAGCTGAAAATAGGTTAGGGAACTGACTTCTTGCCAGATATTTAAAAAGAGTTTGTTGAATTTAGGAATCTTTAAATTAAAAGAAGAACATTAAGAAAAAAAAACATGTTTTTGCAGATTTTGTTTTAAATAAATGTTCTTGCAGTTTAATGTACTTTTATTTTTAAATAATGTTGGTCTGTTATTCATCAAAACAGGTTTTTTTCAATCAGTTTACTCCTCTAATTTGAGGTTTTTCTAGGATATGTTTTTCGTCTTTTATAGGTAAAACAAGAAAAGTCAAGGGGTAAGATCATGCTAATAGCCAGTAGCCAGTTATTTATTCTACTTCATGGTACTTAACTCCATAGTGTCTAGAAAGATGAGATAATAGCATCATTTTTGTATCTACTGTTTCAGGACCTGAAAACATGTCAGCTATCTATGTCAAACTCTATGCTGACGATGCGCTTTTCTCTATACATAGACCCAAAAACTCACCGTGCAGATTTCTGTGACCTCTGACTTGGTGATGTATCCATTCTTGTCCACATCAAAAAGTGAGAATGCCCATTCCAGTTTGCTGGTGGTCTTCCCTGTTGCCGTCATGTGGAGGGCAATGATGTACTCCTTGAAGTCCAGCGTGCCGTCGTCATTAGTGTCGAAGGAGCGGAAGACATGCTGGGCGTAAGTGTTGGCATCGCTGTCCGGGAAAAACTTGCGGTAGATGTTCTGAAATTCTTCTTTTGAGATGCGGCCTGATGGGCACTGCTTCTTGAAGTTTTCATACCACTGGACAATCTCAGTCTCTGTGAATTTGGTACTGAGTTTCAGGTCCTCAAGGATCTCCTTCGATACAGCTCCGCTCTTGCTGTTACCCATAACTGCTAGTGTTGGAAATCTCTAGGAGATATCTGTGCTTAATTGGCAGCCCTTAAATAATTTATAATTCTTGGCAATTTCAATCTCAGTATTATCCCAGTGTTTTTTCGAAGAGGTAAAATGAGGACAACTTCTAAGTGACAGTTGTAATTTTCTTCTCTGTGGCGCTGTAGGTCTGCTGTTGACTCGCAGACGCAAATGCTGTGAAAAGAGCAGAAGGCATTTGGTAAGCTTATTAAGCCTACGAGTAGATCCACTAAGAGGTGTCAAGGACATTTTATCGTAGGTCAAATCTCGAATGCCTGTTTTTCATTCAGTTAAATGTTCCCCTGACGGTAATGAGGTTTTAGAATCAAATCAGGTAAAATGAGAAAAATTCTACGAGAAGAGACTGAAGCAATTATAATGCCCCATAGAATCTAACATGTAGTGTCCTGTATATTAAAGTATTTTCCTAAAGTGTGTTGTGTTATTATTTCTTCTTTGGGCCAGATTATATGGGCCAAGGAAGGATTTTTTTCACAAAAAACAAAAACCTGAAGAAACGGGAAAGAGCCTTGGGATCTACAGACGCTGGTAATCCTGCTGCCATAATCCAGAATGACAAACGACTTGGAGTGACCTGATGCACAGCGTTTAAAGCTGTTAGAGATGCAGCAGGGATAAAGAAGGCAGAAACAAGTCTGCTAATATAGAAAATAAAAAAACTAAATAAAAAAAAATGATTTCTACTACATTTGGTTTGGTTATAGTTGATACAACCAAATATATGTTGGTTTAAGAGCAAATCCTGAAACTTGATTCCGATTTCTATTAATTTTCTGGTTGCTGCTCTTCAAGTTTTACTACACATTGATGTATAGAAGCTTTATATGTAAAGGAAATCTAAATCACATTAAATTAGCCAAATACACCTGCAGGACAGCAGAAGGATGACCCTTCGGTCTTCCTCCCAGATCTTTGAAATGTGTGAATACTGTTGATGTTGTTTGTCATTAAAAGGGTTGCAACAATTTCTACTTCTTTCTTTGCACTTTCAGTATGGTGATGTCGATCTATTCCCCAAGTTTAGAGAATTGTCCAATGACTTATTATTGGTGGTTTTGTAACTGTTCAATTTAAACCTTGTTTTTCGGTTTTCTAAAAAGAATTAAAGCACGTGTTTCAGTGGTATTTTAGGCTCACTGATTACAAACAATGTCCCATCTGAATATTAACTTTTCTGGGATTTAATCAATTATTTATGAATGACCAGAGACCTGTTGTGGGTGTACCGAGCCATAGACTTCACCCATAGACTGCTAGCACTGGGCACCAGCCTCCATGACTCTGACAGACCGGTAATAGAGGATGGATGGAGGGTTTAGTTCATCTCTAAGTGATATTACCAGGTTAAACAAGATATAGTTTTAATGAAAATTAAACTTTACCCTTTCTGATTGGTCACACAAATTATATCTGCATCATAATTGAAATAAATATGTTTTACTATTTCTGTGTAGGTTATGTTATATAGAAACTACTAATAGGGAATCATTTCAAACATATTGCGAAACCTTTTTTTTTCTTGTTTAAAATTCAGCAAAATACCAGCAGAAATTACTTAGTTAATTTTACTTGGAAATTGAGATTTCTGAAATCATAAACATCTAAAGACCTGGGCAGGTGAACACTGTGAATAGGGTATTCTTTGTGAAGTAAAAATCTGTAACTTTCTCATTTACAACATTTTAAAAATAGTTTTCTGCATCTTACTGTAAGCACATACTGAACAATTAACTTCCAACACCAGCCTCATTACAGATAATTACTATGTGTCACGGATAAATGTAGAGAACCGCCGGAGAAAAACAAGTAAAGTCCAGGTCCACCTTATTAAACAGCAACATATAGTGAAATCAATATGAGCAAACAGCCTCCAAAGTTCAGTTTGTGTCCTACCTGTTCAATCAGCGGAGCGGTTCTGTCCCAACAATGATGCTCTGACTGTGAACAGCAGAGGAAATCAGCTTCCACCTGCTGAGATAAGTCAATTAAAGTGGATTCCCCCTAACAGGCAGAGCCACACCAACACCAACATCAACCCCCAGCTTCCGGAACTTCTTCTCATTTTAGGAAATTAAAAAAATAATTTTTCTCACATACATTTGCTCCAGGTTTCCAGGACATTGATTGGATTTTTTGTTCTGATTTTTTACACTTTCTTTAAAAATAATAAACCTTACACTGTCATTATCTTAATAATATTTTTCACAAAGCCTTCATAAAACACTCAGAGTTCCATAATGTATAGCCCAATGATGTAAAATCAGATCAGTAAATAATTTACCTAACTGCATTCAAAATATTAATGGTGCCATGAATGTGTTATACTTTTAGTCTACAAAATAATGTTTTAGTAAAAACTAGGTTTTTATTTAAAGAGCTACTGGTTTACAACCTGACATTTATCTTAAAATGGTCCAACTCTGAGGTCCTATATGGTGGTTAGATGGTTTCCTAATTTATTAAAACCATGACTGTCAGACTGTGTTAATCTTTAATATGGAGCAGTGATGTTAATGTAGGATTCTTTTTGGCAGAACCTTTGGTCGCAGCTGAGTACATAGAAAGGCTCAAACAAAGCTGTTAGGTTAAAGATAATTATAGATTCATTCCTTTTCTTTTGCTGGTGCCTGGCTCCAGAAATCGTTGGGAAAGATACTAAGATAGACCCTTCTGGGTTATGGATTCATTGACTTGAAACAATTTGACTGATGAGCCTGGAGTTGTCTGGCAGCTTTTGATAGGGGGGATATGGCCGAATGCTCAAGATGTGAAAAGAAAAAAGAAATGGATATTGGCATTTTTATCTTTTCAAACACACAACAGAAAATTGTGGTTCAAAAATGTAGAACAGAGAACAGAGGGTTACAAAAGAAATGGCTATCTCAGAGAGCCACTTAGAAGACTACTGAAACTATGAACAAAAACGTTTAACACCAATTATGGAAACTATTACAATGTCCTCAAATTGGACCTTAAGCTTTAAAACCTTTTAAAAAAAACATAGTATAGGGGAAATTTCTTTTGTCAGCCAATGAAAATTTAAGCAATAAACATACCAGTGTATATAATTATGGCTTTGTAAAAACAAGGATATTATGCAATTTAAGGTTATGAAAGGCAAAAAAATAAGATAGATGAGAAGTATAGATGACAGAAGGAGCCATAAGGTCTCAAGCCTGATTTATACTCAGAAACCCGGTCGTCTGCGTGTTTCACAGTGAATGCAAATTTGCCCCCGCTCCTTCCACAGACACTCTGGTGCACCTCTCCAAAATTGTAGGTGACCGCAGACAGTGCCGCAGGCAGGAGGCCTCTGATTGTTCAAATCTACATCTGCTCTACTCTATTCAGATTTCCTGTTTGGTACCTTACCGGCTTGTTATGTTTGCATGCCCGGCATTGTGGAAAACAACTCGTGAAGATGGACCAGCTGGAAGAGCGAGGTGCGCGAGAACGCTGGGACCTCTTTTCTATCTGGATCCCTGCTCTGTTTCGCCCTCATGTCCATCTGTTGTCGCACTAACTTGCCCCTTGCGTTTTTCTACCTCCTCACTTTGTGGAATAACAGCGCAGACCATGCTTCAATATTGCTTCATACCTGCAACATGCTAATTGCCAAACACTGCTGCTGGAGTATAACCAGCCCTTTAGGAGGGATGTCTGTACAAATTATCATTCATTTAAAGGAATAGTACACCCAAAACATGATTA